TCATCCATCCATCCATCATCATCCATCCATCCATAATCCACTCTGAAAAAGCACCAATAATCAAATATTGTATCCAGATACAATATGAATTTGAAGGCTGCCAAAAAGAGAATGCCCATTAATCTATATCGCTAAAAAAGCTGTGACCAAGAAGTAATAATTTATGTTTTTAGCAAAATTTGAGATAACACTGTAGATATAGTTATAATAACCACACGATGTCTGTTTTATTAGAACTACCAAACCTCAGGCCAATATTATACATTTTTGGTCCGAAAAAATAACCAGACAGCTCCTGTATGTAACCATGAACTAATATGACAAACCTTAGAAAATGTGTTTAAAATCTTTTTAAAATTAGTTTACTTTACCATCAATTAAATATTACAAAATATTAATATGTCTTAAAACGGGCTGCTAATATATCCCACAAGGAAATTTTAACATTTGTATAACTATGTGACTCTACTGACACTTCACTACAGTTGGTGAGGTCAAAATAAATCTGATCCATGACATCCCCATACAGCACTTTGTCTCCATCTGTGTATGCATGACTGAACTGCTTTTTTGATGTTTTTTTATTACTTGCATATATCCTTTTTTACTACTGCATACAGATGCACAGCAGACCTTTGTTTGTCATTGTGCATTCCTGAATGAGGGTGTATCTGTGTTTCTCCATGTGTGCATGTCTTTGTTTGGGCTGGTTAGAGACAATAGCATGGCCAGCGGACTAGTCTGCTGTGTACGAATAATCAAAGTGGTTTCTCTCATCATTAAATCATGGCTGTCCTGGTGGGAGCCTAAGGAGGGAGATAGAGGGAGTGAGTGAGGGATCATAGTTAACGCTGCAGGGGTACATGCTCTCTCCCTCTCCTCCATCGTGTACTGAGGGTGAGATGTGTCATGAGCACAAGTCTTTTCTGCTCTCTTTGCTCGCCCACTTAGCTCCCCCAGACATAGCCGCTCACACGCACACACTTCCTTGTGTATATGCACACACAGTGAAACACTCCTGCTCACTGATATGTTATTCAGGATTGTACAGACATTCGCTCACTGACTCAGACACACAAACTGCATCTTTTCTAGGAAGCAAAGGCCTCTAACCAGTGCTGCACAAGGATCTGCCACATGTAGCTGCCATTACCGTTCTGTTAAAACAAACGTTGTTTTCTACAGCATCCTAACTCAACAGCTACCACAAACACAAACATCATAAACATGATTGCATTATATAAATATAATCAGGCAATCATTGAAAGAACACATCAAGGTAAAGGGGGATCCTTGCTGCATTTTTGTTCCTTATGTGAAATAAGAAACTGAGAAAACCTACAACTTTACATACATTTATGCTCTACAATCTATAAACTTATTACACTTAAAGTTATTGTGGAAGACAAAGACACTTTGCAAAGACACTTTAAAAAAAATGCACATGCACAACCCTGTACCAGCTCCCGAGAGGGAATGCCTATTAAACATATGAAAGAGCATGCACAAGCCCATTTCTCCTTGTGCAACTCTGTTTAAAAGTTTATGTCTGCATTGCTCTTACAAGCTTACTTTATGAAAGAAGATTTTTTTTCACTATGTCAGACTCACCACCGGTAAGTGAAAATTGGAACGAGCACTTAATACGCCCTAATAAAAAAACATATCACCAGAATGATTGACAATAAGGAGGACCACTTATTTTGATCACAGTAGATGGAAGCCAAATATTCAATTTTATATGTTTTCTCTGAAGACATTTGGTCACTTCATGATATAACAGAAACTACCACTAATAGTTGTGTCACAACAACCAAGGTAGTTTCTAATAACCTGACATAGAGATCAACATTTTTACTCACAAACACAAATGAGAAATCCATAAGCATGATGGATACTCATCATGGCTGGTGGATATTCAGATGAATTGAAAATACATGATTTCATTGTTTTAAGCTTAAAAGGTGTGGCATGGATTTATATTTAATAAAGTAGAGATCCACCTGCTTTGCAAATGCATCAGATGTTTGTTATGAAACATTAACAACCAAGGACATTATGTAGACAAAGGGAAACATCAGGCAGGTCAAGGATACAGTTGTGGGGAAGTTTTAAGCACGGTTCTAGCTTTAATGACTGATCAGAGAGATCACTGAAATGGAGATCAGCCACAAAGATTGTCGAAACTTTGGAGGAACTGCAGAGATCCGGAACTCAGGTTGTAAAACCTGTTGATTGGAGATCTATGTATTAAAGTGTAGGTTGAGGTCCCATATGGTTATTATGGTCATTCTGTGCTCAAAGCCAAGAGGCACAGCATTGTGAGAAGAAAGATTCCGGTCGCCTGAAAACACAATCAGAGATGAGAGCTTTCAGAGAAATTACATTTAACATAAATAAGTCCGAATAATCATAGATCACTTCTCACAACCAAACTTTTAGGACAATTATGCAGCCTTGTCGGGCTATATGAACTGGAGACTGCAAACCACGCAGAATAGAACTATTGTTGAGTACACTTGTAAAGTTGTAATTATTTTCTCTTCTTCACATATTACACAATCTTGCACTTAAATACTGTGTGGATTCTGATTAAGCATACATTAAACCTTCTCTCAGAGCTGAACTTAGACCTTCTGATTACAGCTCTATTTTGTATATTTCTTATCTGCAATTACCTATATATGCTACAATAACCCTGAAAATGCTATTGAAAACATAAAACATGATGTTGGCAGCAACATTCTCTGGGGATAATTTCTTTCAGCAGCGACAAGCTGATTGGGTGAGCCAGGTTTAGTAAAGTGAAACCCTGGAAGAAAACCTGCTGCAGACTACAAGAGACTGGGGCAGAGGTTCATTTTCTATCAGCAAAACCACCTGAAATATACAGTAAGCTGGAAAGATGTAGATCAAAACATCCTTTAAGGTCAGACTTCAATTAAAACATTTTAAATTCTTATTAAATAAATACTTTTCAAGTTACTTTGAGCTTCTTTGCAAAGAAATTACCATAAATATAGAAAATTTTATTATAATATTTAATAATATTAAACTTTTGCTTTTCTATTTTCATTCATGGGTGATTCTAAAGAGTACTTATAAAGAGGAAGAAAGAATTACGGCTGAAAAAATTAATCAGATTAATCGTGATTAATCAATTATTGAAATAATCGTGGACTAATTTAGCAATAGAGGAATCGTTAACTGGAGAATAGAGACCATAAAATATGCCTTTAGCTGAAAGAGCAACCTACTTAGAGCAGTAATTATATCAAAATTCTAAAAAAAATGTATAAACATTTTGCATTTAAGATTAAAATAACTGTTTCCAGATCACCTCAAATGGAAAAGTTTTAGTTTCAACAGGTTTAAAAAAAAAAAAGTCTTCTTCAAAGAACTTTTTGCTATCCGATTATTAATCAAAAAATTAATCAACAGATTAATCTATTTGCAAAATAATTATTAGTTGCAGCCCTAGAGAGAAAGCCAATATTTCGGTATTTAAAAAAAAAAAAAAAGTTAAACTGTGCATCTCTTTTTTGTTTCCACTTCTCTTTTAGGCACTTTAAGAAACTATATCTAAAAATATTATGAAAAATATATAAAGTGGCTTTAAAACTAGACACAGGACTGCTGATGTTGGTTCTCTCAACGTTCAAATGTATTATGCAAAAAAATGCAGAATTTAATGCAACAAATGTGCTGTAAGCTATGTAATCATTTCTATACTCCTAACATTTAAAATCTGAGTCTGAGGATCCGAGGATAGAATTTAACAAGACGAGACTAGATGAAGCAAATATATCTTCTATATTCATCAATCTCTAAAAGTTAATGTGACATAAATCTATCTCGGTATGTTGAGTATGTTGTGTTATGATCACAAAACAGCTTCAAGTAAAAAAAAAGATGAAATAAAAGTTGGTAAACATGTGCATCTGTGTTTAGCGATTTTAAATTGAAGGTGAGATGTTCACAGCATATATTCATACCACCGATCAACACACACACACAGATACACACACTGGCTGGATGTGCTGCTAATGAGCTCAGTGTGTGGTTACAGCATAGAGCCAGACTGGCTCCACTCTCAGACTGATGGGAGTTCACACAGGAGTCAAAGCTTTTTTTTCTGCAACCCTCTGCCTCATCTTCAGAAAAGCAGCATGTTACCGTTTGCTGTCGTTATCAAAGCAGGCGCAGGTTCACCTTTAGGGCTTCTTTCCAATCTCTAAGTTGATGTGGAGAAAGGCAAATTCAAACATGACTTTATGATGGTCCCTGGAGTATTTTAATGTTTGTCACAGCTGTCTTAGAAAATGTAAAACAGCGTTTTTTTTCTGCAAAAAGAAAGATAGGCATTAAACGCAATATAAATTTTATTTAAATGAAATGAATTATGGAATATAATGAATATTAATCAATTGATTCCTTTTTTTTTTCACATTACTTTCCACTCCCCAGTACCAGCCATGATCACCTCCTACCCAAACACCACTCTGGCCACGCAAGGTGAGGAGAAGAGGATGAGCTGCATTGCTCACGGGGAGAAACCCATCATGGTTCGCTGGGAGAAAGAGGAGCGCATCATCAACCCCGAAACCAGCCGATACGTGGTTACTTACAAGGAAGTGGCTGACGAAGTCGTCTCAACACTAGTGGTGAGCAATCAGTGTGACTCTAAATCTAACCCAATGTGAGGGGGAAGTGAGGTCCATCTGAGGCAAAAAAAAAAAAAAAAAAGAGTAGGAGAAACTGGAGCTGGAAAAAAATGTGTTAAGGTAGAAGAACTGTACTGTGAAAACAAAGTGTACCCTCCCAAATATTTTTTTTTATTTGCCTTATTTCCCACTAATAATGTTCCAGATCCTCAAACACCTTCAGTGTAAGCAGGTAATATTTTACAAATAACTGCTTTAAAACTAGGATTTTCATCACTACAAGGACAATCAAAGATCTCCAATTCAGTTGGATACAATGTGACCAAATGTATCTTCCCCTAAACCTAAAAACTGTATTTTCTGCTACTTTTGGCAGCACTTACTGTACCGTCCAGCATAATCCACAGTCCTTATTTTGATTTCTTTGCAGAACTTTGTTGTCAATGCCATATCAGTCTTTTTTGGGTGTGAACAGGCTGTCACATGATGTCTCTTGTTTAACCCAGTCAAAGCAGACTTAATTCATTGTTCTGCATAGCTGAAATCAGCCTAAGCATAAAGTCACAATCTTATACCCTGACTTGATGCAAAGTTATTTAGTAGAGAACAGAATTAAGGTTTTAAAGCAGCTAAGAAGGACCGGAACATGTTTCCCTGTCACTTTGATATTCTTGCTCTGAAAATGTGTTAGTTTTACAATATAAAGTTAACTTTATATTAGTCTCTATTTCATGTGTTTCATCTAGGGAAAATAACATCATTCAACAAATAGATTGAACCAGATTTATATTTAAAGTTTGTTATTCAAATGCGTCATTTTGAAAACCCAATTAAGTAAGTTTGTCCTTAGATCATGCCAACTGTTCGCGAGGACTCAGGGTTCTTCTCCTGTCATGCCATCAACTCCTTTGGTGAGGACAGAGGCATCATACAGCTGACTGTGCAAGGTAAGATTTCCTCTCCTTTAAACTCAGGAAGGTTATCTGTGGAATAAAACCTTGTCTCAGAGTAGTAAATATTATGTTTTGCCCGGTATTTATTAAAGTTATACCATAAGACCTTGCATTTATAGGATCACACCCCTAATATGTTATAAAATAAACTATGTAGGTCCATCAAAAAGCTCTCTTCTCTCTCTAAATGTATTACTCTGCTGAAATTTCCTCAGAACCACCAGATCCTCCCGAGGTGGAGATCCGGGAGGTCAAAGACAGAACTATAGCTCTCCGCTGGACTATGGGGTTTGACGGCAACAGTCCTATCACAGGATACGATATTGAGTGCAAGAACAAAACAGGTACTAACAGATGAAGTTAACTAAAGAATAAAACAAAACTTAATTGTGTTTTTCTAAATATTCTATTTGTTTTCTTCCAGCTTCATGGTTGTCTGCGCAGGTAACCAAAGATGTGTCACCGCAGCTTAACCAAGCCACTATTATTGACCTCCATCCTTCTTCAACGTATAACATCCGTATGGTTGCCAAGAACATTATTGGAAACAGCAACCCCAGCAATGAGCTCACCATCACTACTGATGAAGCAGGTTAGTTAGCTTCATTTGAGGAATCATTCGACTCCCTTTGACTGTATAAAGGGCTGGTTATACTCCCCGCAGCAGTGTGTCGCAGTGAGCTTGTCGCAGATATTTTTGATTTATGCCCAATATTGAAGTTTGGTCTGCGCAAGAGAGTCAACGCAATAGGGACAGTCATGAACTAGCCGTCGGTATTTTCTAGCTGGTCCATCTTCACAAATCGTTTTCTGCAATGGCGGTCATACAAACAAAACAAGCCGGTAAGGTACCAAACAGGAAATACGGATAGTGTAGAGCGGATGTAGATTTGACCAATCAGAGGCCTCCTGTCTGTGGCACTGTCTGCTGTTACCTACAATTTTTAAAGGTGGAGCAGAGTGTCTGCGGCAGGGGCGGAGGCACATTTGCATTTACTGCGACACACACGCAGACCACCTGGTTTCTGACTATAAATCAGCCTTAACACTGGCCAACAACTCTGAAGCATCTCCAAGCTGAAAAGCAGTGATAAGGAATTTTAAAAGAAAATAGAATTAGATAATCAAGAATATGACTTTGTTCACTTTAATAAAAGCATGTTAAAGAACAGTCATCACAGAGTTAACATTGCAGTCTGAGAGAAAGATATAATGCATAGGAGGTATGACGCTATTAGTACTATCCTAGAGAGCAGGAATCAGCTAGCAATTACACAAAAATGAGTGATTTTACATTTGCAGCCTGGCTCTGTACATAAGTGGACAAACAGGCAACAGTGCATGTGGTAGCATTAAGATTAACATAAGCAAGGAGTGACAAGTTAACCTTATTTTGATTGTTTTTTATTTCAACTCTCTTTTTGTGGTAATTCCAAAATGCTCTTGGTGTAATCTGAACATTAAAAATAAGGATGAAATAAAAACCTTGCCAATAGTGTTAATGCAGAAAAGCGGCTGTATTATTTTGACTTAATCATTTCATTAAATATTAAAAGAAGAGCTCAGTTTAAGAGTTTCTCGGTTTCTCTCTAATTGGACGTTAGGTTTTGGACTCTATTCAGATGGATATTTGGCAAGAAATTTGTACAAAGAATTATGATCATTCTAACAACCCATAATTGTATAGATGTTGAGGCTATAATATGAAATAAATTAGAAATAAATCTGTTCACCACTGCTTTTAGCTGGTCCTCTTAGTTCTAGCCTATTTTCTATTGCTTTTAATGATCCCTCCTGGGCCTTAAAGCATGTTGAATGGCACATTTGATTAAATTAATAACTAAACTCAAGTTATAAATTGTATTATCATTCTTTTTGTCTCGATTTTTAAGTGGTTTGTTGAAGATGTTCGACTTTTTTTAATTAATATTGATCTAAGGGAATAGCTCTAATGTGCATGGCTCAGTGGGAACCTGAAAAGCAGATTTTTAGTTCAACAGCACCACCTAGTGAATTTTTCTATTTTTGTTTTGAGTTGTGGAAATGGTAAATTATATGCTTCATTCACAGCTCCTGATGGCCCCCCACAAGATGTCACTCTGGAGCCAACCTCCCCACAGAGCATCAAAGTTTCCTGGAAGGTAGGCTCATGAATAAATGTCTCACATCATCAGCAGGACCTTGGGTTGTAATTGCACTTCCTTCATTTTGAAAAATTAAATAAAAACTGTATAAAAATTACCAAAAAAATGTTTCATCATAAAGTTCAGCATCTTAACAATATAATCCACCATTTTGCTGAACATAGTGGAGATAAAAGATATGTTCTGATGTGTTTGTTTCTTAATCTCGTCTTATCTCATACTCTCCACAGCCTCCCCATAAACATTTGCAAAACGGTGTGATCCGCGGCTACCAGGTGGGCTACAGGGAGTACAGTCCTGGAGGGAGTCACCAGTTTACTATTATCAGTGTGGATTCAACAGGAGACACCACCGAGAGCATCATGCTGGACAATCTGAAGAAGTTCACTCAGTACAGCGTGGTTGTTCAGGCTGCAAACAGAGCTGGAACAGGACCTTCTTCACAGCAGGTGGTCACCAAGACCCTGGAGGATGGTGAGCTGGAGATCTGGGGCTCTTAAAATGTGGGGAATATATGTATTGCTCCTCAAAAATGTATCTAGTATTTTGTTACCCTCTTTTTGCATATTATCCAAAAGATTAATTCTTTAGAATCTGAACTGATTTACTAACAGAAAATTGTCAATTTAATGTAAGATGGAAGGAAAAGAAGAAATGGTTATTTAAATATTCAGAGCAGCCAATCACCTTCTCAGATTAGTAAATCCTTTTTTCAAATGGTCATTGAAGGCCTCAAGAGAGGTTTCTTAATATTCACGGAACAAAGAGCATCATCGAGACACAGTAAACAGTATCGAGACAAAGCAGCACAGTCGACAGATTAAACTATGAGCGCTGTTTAATCCAAGATTATGGCCGGTTCTAGACAGGGGCCATCAGGGGCCAGTACCCCTGTAGAATTGGTCCTTGACCCTGTACTGAAGGCATAATACTAATTAAAATATTTTATGATAATATGCGTTGACTCAGGCATAATAACTGATTGCTACTTTGGACCAATTTGTCTTTAATCCCCATATGATTTAAAAATTAAGGTATAAGCTTCAGTTATAATGGATAGTCATAGTTTTCATCTGCTAAATGTTATTTGGACCAAATAAAAAAAATTCTCAAATTTGTTACAGCTGAATTGATCAGTTTCCAAAAGTTCTCATTCTGATTCGATCAGAACAGGTAATTTTCGTGTAAAGTAAGTTCAAAATAATAATGTGCATTGAACTAATATTCTAAAATATTACTTTATTTTATCTTTTAGTAAATATGTATTTATCAACTATTTATTTCAGCTGTTTTTTTGTTTGTTTGTTTTTACATGGGAAAGGATTTATTTCTTTATTTTAGGTAAATAAAAGTAAAAATTTCAAACTTAAAGTACACATTTTTAATTTGAACAAAGTAAAATTTGAATCAACTAAATGATGAGGAAATGGCATTTCAGTGCAGATCTCCAAGTGCTGTAGCTCGTTGGTTCTGCAGCTTTTTGATTTTATTCTAAATCATAAACTATTGCCGTGTTTTTGTGGTCTAGAACCACCAATGTCCAAGATGACTAAGACATATTTATCTATAGTGCCTAACCTGGCAAAAGCACAGCACCAATATTCATTAGAAATGCAGCCAGGAGGTCTGTGGTAGCTTTATAGTAGTATCAAAGATCCCCGACACAGGTGCGATCCCTTTTTAGATTTGTAAACTTGATTAAGTCACTAGATCAGAGGTCTTCAACAGGGGGTCCGCGACCCCTAGGGGGTCCACAGAGGTACTGCATGGGCGTCACAAAAGTTTTGGTTGATTAGACTTTTTTTTTTATATTCTCCCAGCATTTTTTTCCACTAATTGAAATGTTTTTAAATACACAGTAACATAAATATATAAGAAATAGTTTAATAATCCCAGGACGGAATTTCTTTTTTTACATGACTCCATCTGTAATAGAGTGACAATAAAACCAGTCTGATATAACTCAATTTCATACAATATATATAATTAGGGGGTCCCCGCTCCACCTCGCCATCAGTTTGGGGGTCCTTGGCCTGTAAAACGTTGATGACCCCTGCACTATATTAAAAATTGTACCCTTTTTCATTAACATTAATGTCACTTTATGTTGATATTTCAGATAAAATCCTAATAGAATACACTTAATGCAATGTTTTTAGATTAACAAGTGTACATATTTTATGGGACACTGTAGATTATTAGTTACAGCTAATGCAGTTTGTCTTATATCTTCTCATCTCATTAGCTATTACCTGCTGTGACAAAAGATGCTCGACAGCACCTTGTAGAAGATCTCCACCTGCTGGACATAATTTGAAATTAAATAGTTCTTTGAAATATAATTCTCTGTAGTCATTCATCTGCTTACATTTCAAAACATTACTGGTTATTTTCCTTTTTTGTACTACACTGAACACAACCTGAGAGACTCATCTGAATGACAGTTCAGCTCTATAGCAACTATCAGAGAATACACTGAGGGCCACAAAACAGGATAGATATAAAACAGATTTAAGCCGATTTGCAAATAAACAATTTTAAAAAACTTGCAATTTACCAATAGCAGTGGAATTATTTTTATTTTATTTTTTAGGGATTCCCAGAAAGGTGCAATTACTGAGTTTCAATTATAGAGGTTCAATTATAGAGTTCTGTGCAGAGAGTAAATGGCTCATCCAGTAAATATAAAGACAACAACTTGTTAAAGAGAGAGTAGTTGGCTTTTCGGAATATGATAATATTATTTTCTAGATTATGTAAGCCAATAAATATATCTAAACAATTATTTTGTTTTAATTTAAATTTATGCAATCATACAGAACAGATGAGTGAATATATAAATTTGTTGACACCAACAAAAGTAAAATGTTAGCTTCCCAAAATGTAAGTATTCTCTCTTGAGTCATTTGTTGTGAATTTCTCCTTATCAGTAAGGTTTATCTTATTTTCACTTCTTTTCTTAGACTACTGTTTTAAAAATCACTTTAAAAACAGCAGCTCCTCGGTCTGTATTTTTCATCAGTAACTAAAACGGTTGTCTGCACGGTGGAGCAATTTGTAGCATGGTTGCCTTACAGCAAGAAGTTCCTAGGTTCGATCCCCAGCCCAGGGTCTACTTGAATGCGTTTGCATGTTCTCCCAGTGCAGGCATGGGTACTCTCCAGGTACTCCCACAGTCCAAAAATATGAGTCTTAGGTTAAATGGCTTCTCTGAATTGTCCTTGGGTGCAGGATATAGGCAGCGGCCCCACTGCGACCCTGACAAAATAAGCAAGAGAAGATGGGTGGAGGATGGACAACTAAACGGTCCCTCAAGAAATTAACATTCAGCCTAAAACCTCAGTCTTTCGTTTTTTTTCTCTCCTTGACAGTGCCCTCCCGACCTCCTGAAAATGTGCTGGCAGTAGCCAAATCTCCAGAGGTGATTTCCCTCTCCTGGATGCCTCTACCAAGAGAAGCTCTCAATGGAAACCTGCAGGGCTACAGAGTAATCTACTGGGCAAATCTGCCTGATGGAGGTACTGACTTTCACACAGAGGAACACTTTGACAGGATCTTGAGGAATGTGGTTATTTTCTCTGAGCTAGCAACTTGGAGCTGCTGATTTGTCAAAAAGTTATATGGCTGCATATAATAGCTTGTTTAAACTAATTATAAATCTGAGGTACTGGAACTAATTTTCACAGCATTACATAATAAGGTAATTATGCTTCAAAGCTAACTAACACTGTTAATACTCTGAATCAGGTCATGGCAATGCTTGGGGGGGGTCTGCTGCATGATACGTCTTGTTGACCTATTTACAATGAACACATCTATCTGCATGTCTATCTATCTATCTATTTATTTATTTATACTAGCTGAGTGTTTCAGGTCATTGTAATAAGAAGTTTGGCTAAAACATTTTTCTTTCAAATGTATGCCTAATTCCACCAATCATCACCAGATCTTCACCTTACTTATAAATGTTTTTTCCCGTTCTGCTTTAGAACTTGGTGAAATCCGGAATGTGACAACTGGTCAGCCTTCTCTGGAGCTGGATGGTTTAGAGAAGTACACCAACTACAGCATCCAGGTCTTAGCTTTCACTAATGCTGGAGATGGAGTCCGCAGTGAGCAGATCTATGTTCGCACCAAAGAGGATGGTAGGGGAAAATTAAATCTTTACCAAGTTATGTTTTTTTTTTTGTTTGTTTGTTTTTTTTTTTTTTGCTTATGGAGAGTTCATGATGATTGTATGACTTTGTTTTTCTTTCTTTAGTTCCTGGTCCACCAGCAGGAGTAAAGGCTGCAGCCTCTAGCAGCTCTGCTGTGTTTGTCTCCTGGCTGCCTCCGCTTAAACTTAATGGCATCATCAGAAAATACATCGTCTTCTGCTCTAACTTGCATCCCATGGTATTAGCATTTTTTTACCATAAAACTTTCACGATCTTCTCTTGTCTTTTATGTTTACTGAGTTTAAGGCCAATGCAGCCACATTTCCAAAGTGTTAAATACTACTGCAGTCTCCTGTTACATTGTCCTTTGTCTTCTCTTGGGTTTACAGGTGATGAGTGAGTTTGAGGCATCTCCCGATAAATATTTTTACAGGATCCCAAATTTGGCTCGAAACAGACAGTACAGTGTCTGGGTGGTGGCAGTGACGGCTGCAGGACATGGAAACAATAGTGAGAAGATCACCGTGGAGCCTTTACCCGAAGGTATCAAATCCTCCACAGTCTCCCCTGATACGCTACTGATAAATATTTTGGAACAGTTTAAAAAAGAATCTCGAAATTGCACCATTGGATCTTAAGCAGTTTTGAAGTAGAGCTTTAACATGCCAAAAATGGTATGGGATTGAGGCAAAAATTACTGCTGAAGCAATTTATTGCCAACTAAATAAGGCTTTCATAATCAAAGCTTTAAGACCACAGATCACAGTAATGTGGATTCATTTTCTATCAGGTATCCACAGTGTTATAACCTCCTGATGGAAAAGGCAAAACCTTTTACGATGGCCACTGGCAGCTTTGCATCATTTTAAACACCCTACAGGATTCTGAGGGTCATGGAAAAAAAAAGTCAAGAGTAAAACCAAAAAAAAAATGTTTCTGGCTCTGTCAGGTGGAGAGAGCCAGAAACATTTTTGGTCTGTCAGGTGGAGTCCCACCACCACTGGAGGTGGGACTCCACCTGACTCCACCTCCAGTGGAGTCAGGTGGAGTCCCGCCGCCACTGGATGACATCTATGATAAAGAACAAAAATCATCTGCAAAGGGCTTGTCTTTTTCAGTGGCACATTGCATGTTTGATGTTTGCACAAATGAAACCAAACATGAAAAATTGAGATGTGGGACAAAGTTTTATTCTCTGATGAGAAAGAAATCAATAGTGACGGTCATGAGGGGTCCTGAATGTTACCTGCATGATTAAGATATCCTGATGTTTTCTACATGGCATACAGTGGGGGGGCGCTTTTTCTTTCAAAGGTTGTGGAGAAGCATTAGATAGTGCCTGGCTATGTGGAGATGATGCAGGAGGCATCCTTTATGACTGAAGATCATCATCTGTGTTATAATGAGTGGGTTTTTAAACAGGACAATGATGCATTTAATAAAGCTCACCATCACTCTGTTGGAGCAACCACCATGTTCCTCTTATCTAAATCCAGTTAAGTACATTTTGGGTTGGTTGGTAAGTATTGTTGCACCGATACTGATACCAGTATCGGGCGGGGCCACGATCCAGCACTAAAATGGTGGTATTGGTGTTGGCGAGTACCAACAAATAGGGCACCGATACGATTTTGAGAGCCAAAAGTTTATTCAACTATTGTCACCTATTCCAGGTAGGCAATAAAAAGTTCTGCTGGATTCACTTTGTATTAGTCTCATTTCCTGAATCGCAAAGGTAGGCAGCAGCTTGACAAAGCCATGATGGCAATTATTTAACATCCAAGTAGTATGCGGTTCTTCATATATACACACACATAGAGATACATTTAAAAAAAATGGTATCGTTATGGGCTGATACTGCATAACCAGGTATTGGGTATCAGTATTGGTGCTAAAATATGGCATTGGAGCAAAAGTATTGGTAAGGGACAGTTTAGTGCAAAAACCTTTTCAGCTTCTTAAAATTAACATTTTAGATAATTACCAAGAAAGGAGCAGCCATTTATTACTGAGTCCTTTTTGAACACTGTGTTTTGTTTTTTGTTTTTACTAACTTTTACTAAGCTGATGAACAGTCTATTCTAGTTTAATGATTTTTGGCGATACATTTTTTATTTTTTGTGTCACTCCTATTTCTCCTTTTTGCATTTTGAAACTGCACTTACAGTAAAACCTTCTTAAGATCCAACAGTGCATTCGGGGAATTCTTTTCATGATTCCTAACACACTTGTCTTTAAAGATCTAAACAAGCTTTTTGTGACCAGCATCAATTCAACTATGTGTTTGTATTAATGGTTTATAGTGGGTCCCTGTTTTTAATATGTTGCTGTTTATGCTTGCATTTTCCTCAGCTCCAGCTAGAATCCTGACATTTAATGGAACAGTCACTACTCCCTGGATGAAGGACATTGTTTTACCATGCAAAGCTGTTGGAGATCCTCCTCCCACCATTAAATGGCTCAAGGGAAAGTAAGTAATTAATATTTATGTCTATTAAACAGCCATTATCTAAGCTTTTTCTGGAATATAGAATTCCTCTGTTTAATTCTAGCACAAATGGGACACCTACGCCTGTAATTGTGGATGGTCGTCGTAGCGTCCATGGCAACGGGAGCTTCCTAATCCGTACAGTAAAAGCAGAGGACTCTGGGAACTACAGCTGTGTGGCCAGCAACAACTGGGGGTCTGATGAGATCACCCTGAACCTGCAGGTTCAAGGCAAGTGGGCAAAGAAAAGGAATAGAGATAATTTTGTGGTCTGATGTTTATAGAGATACCTTATGTCACTTTGGTAAAAAATTATTGCATTTTAGTAGATAAATCTCAAAGGATTCTTTTTAACAATTCAAAGGACAAATATATTCAGAAGAACATATTTTTTTTATGAATACCTGATCAACAAAAGTTGACACTGAACCTGATTTACATAAAGTGTTATGATAGTAGCTGCATAAAAATGGCCAAAAATATCTACTGATGTTTAATATTATGTCTAAATTTATTTGAACATTATATATAAATGGTTTGATTTGCATTTGTTATAGATTTGTTAAAATAGTGCTGGAAAGTACATGAAAACACCAGGAAAAAACATGGCTAAGTAAATGTGCGGCAAAATTATCTTTATAAAGAAAATGAAAATAGAAATCAAGCAAAAAATGTAAACAACTGAAGGTAAAATAATCTCAAGAACATTTAGAGACACACAGTTAAGGAAGTCAAACCTAGAGGTGGACAAAATATCTAAATATTTTACTAAAATAAGAAGGGAGCTAAAATAAAAAAGTAAAATAAAAAGTAGGCATTCAAGTAATTACTCAAACATCTGGTAAAAAGGCTACTCGTGTACTGAGGGATCATCTAATATACAGTCTTATACAAATTCTTTTTATTATAATGCTAGTTTCAAGTGATAGTATCTGCTATTTATTTTATTTACGTGATGGCCAAATGGATCAGGAATCTTAGCAGACAGAAACACACACGTATCATTCAAACATAGAAAACATACAAAACTGTGGGCATGTTGATTCTGCATTTTTTGGCCAATATATTAGCCTGAAAATGCACCCCAGTAAGCAGTAATTTAACAGTATGCTGTGATAAAATTTTTCAAAACATCAATGTTTCTTCAAAGATTTAGGGGAACATAATGAAACTTTGTGTTATTTAGCAAAATTTGGTAGAGTATTAATTCAGATTTTTTTCATATGTGACTTTATCAAGGCTTAAAGAAGTTTGAGGCAATTTCATAATAAATGCCTTTGAGAGGCTAAATGTCATAATCTCTATCTGCCCCCTTGTGGTGACTAAAAAGTATAGCAATCTAATTCAGAAATAAAAAAAGAGTTGTTTTTTTTATCATTAGGGGTGATGCTGAGTCAGATATAGGAATCTTTATTACTGTTATAATGTTAGATATATTCTAGTTATTGCTTAAGTTATTGCAGTTAGAAGGGCAGCAAATATAAACTTGTTATTGACTAACATCTAGTACTATTCATGAATAATTAAATACTTCTATCCATTTGGCAAAAACCTATGCAAATACTCACGGCAACAATATGTTGTTTCCCCCCCTTTTTTACCAGTTTTGCTTGAATTATTTTAATTAATTTATTTTAATTAATTTGCAATTAACAACTTAGACCCATGCTCCATTTCTCGTAAATACTGTACGACAAATGGAGCATGGGTCCATTTGCCATACAGTATGTTACTCTCTAGCCTTGATAAAGTTGCTAGTTTAAAAAAACAAAAAAAAACAAAAACAATATTAAAGTTAAAAGATTTTTAATAAAAAGAAGGCAAAGTTTGTTTTTTATCAGTTCTATGCTTTGAACATATGAAAGATAACATGTGACAATGTGACTATGAAACTGACAGGTGCTGACCTCAGAAGGCCTCAAAGTTTGCATGAAAATGTTACGTGATACACATGCAGAATATTACAAACAATAGAAATTACTGGCCCTTTTTTTTCTTTAACTGTAATTCACATATCAATTGATTTGATGTTTATCAAAATGAAACCCTAAGTTGGTGAAGAAAAATAAGCATTACAACACAAACATGATCAGTGTGCTGACCTGTCATCCACAGTACCCCCTGACCAGCCCCGTCTCACAGTTACCAAGACTACCACCACGTCAATCACATTGTCATGGATACCCGGAGACAACGGAGGGAGCTCCATCAGAGGTGAGGGTGTAAATCCTCTACAAACTATATGTACTTCTGTAAAACTAGAGGAAAGTTTGATTAAAACCAAATATGAAAAACACATTCATTTATAAGCTGCAAAATATGAAAATATAAAACAAATATGAGAACAATTGTCTCCTGTTGGAGCTTTGTGATAGCCTATTGTCCATTCCTCTTCATCTTTGTTTTATCTCTGTTGTTCCCTGATTGGGTCTCATTATTTTCTGGTACAGCACAACAGTTAACTCCTAAATGCTAGATTAAAAAAGCAGGAGAAAAGATTAGGTCTCGTTTATAAGAAGATTAAAGTGTTCCATCTTATGCTGCAATCACAACAAATGTATATGTGGTGATTAATCATAGTTCCTAATCAAACTGCTCCTGTCTTTGTTGTTGTCACCATGGAGGCCGTTCAAAATACCTGCTGTGTTTTATTTCCTTCCTTTGCCTCCTTATAACATCATCCATCAGGAAGACACAATCACCACTTACTTTGGTCTATGTGTAGCTCTATATATATATATATATATATATATATANTAAAGAAGAAAGAAAACTTTAATCTACTGTTTAATCTGCACGCCAAATCTGATCAAAGGATTTTAAAATCAAAGCAAAGGATAAAACAAACTTGCAGCATAAATGAAAGTATAAAAATAAAACAGGACAATGAACTGGACGATGATGCTGATGTCATAATAATATTGAGCTGAATTTTAGATATTGGTTCATGGATCTTCCCGTACCTTTAAGTCGGCTTTAGGTCAGAATATTTGGAGTTTCTCTGAAGCTCTGAGCTCATTAAAGCAGCAGATAATTAAATACGAGCTTTTATTGCCAACAGCCGTTCTTTTGCAGCAGGAACAACCATCCCCATTATGGCTCCAGATCCACCTCCAAGCACACCTCCTGTTTGAAGGAAGTCCTTCCCAAAGAAAATGAGCCCGAGCAAAGCTCCGACCCATAATCCTACCAGTAAACCAATTTTTGCCTTTATTGGAAGCTTCTTAGTTTTCTCCTCTTTCTTCTGAACGGTCTTCAACATCTTGTGGGTGTAACACTCTCCTTCACTTATCGTGATGATCTTGTTAATTTCATCCATGATTTGTTTGACTGCAGATTCATTGTTAAAATTTTCAACGACATCCACACACCTCCTTTCACAATTCACTGCAAAGTCAT